CGAGTTTGCTGGACGGGGTACGCGTGCCTTGCCCTTTTCGGGGCATTGTGCGGTCACATGAGTGACGCCGTTGCACCAGAGGCAGTATCCGTACTTTTGACGAAGGTCATAGACATCCTTGGTTATCTTGTAAGCCGTCCATGGCTGCTGCCCAGTTCCCGTCGATGCTGTCTCTTGTGTCGCCTTGTTCTTCCGAACTCTCTTGGGACGCTTCGGCGGGAGCGCTGCTACAATTCCTCCATCACTCGAGGTTGCTGCTGCAGCGTGGAGGTCGTCTGTTTCTTCAGAATTCACGACATTATTATGTGCCTGACGTTGATAGCCCTGCTTAGCCACATAATGCGGTTGGGACTGCCGTTCGTTTGCGGCCTTGTCATCCATTTGGATGACTAAGTTCGCACGATCCAGAATGGCCTGGAACGTGTCATAGTCGTACTCGTTGCTGAGTGCCGACCGCAGTCCCGCGCACGATCGCGAGAAGAACTCGGATCGTTGATTTGGAAAGCTCAAATCGAATCCTGGTGTGGTCACTATCTTCTGCCACTTGGTTGTCCAGTCTCGAGTTGGTATATTTCCTTGAGAGCAGGTGTACACCTCGTTCATGGCCGCCTTCACGACGTTGCGGACCATGAACCGGGTGAACCATAGCTTCTCGAACTCATTCCACGTGATGTGCGTGTGGAGGTCGGCGATGGTGCATTTGTTGGTAGCCGCCAGATGGTTCATCCAAGTCTGCGCTCCTCCAATTAGTTGCAAGTAGAGTGCCTTCATCATGTCGTATGCCGGGACAGTGCGGCATGATGCTTCCGTGAGGAAACGTTGCCACCACGTCAAGGCGTCCGACTTGTTGTTGCCGTCGAACTTGCTGATGTCGAAGTGCGGCATCTTGTAAGTCTTTGTAGCGGCGTCCGGTCTCGTCTGCAGCTTGGTGATGTCCGTCTTGATGGCGGCCACCGTGCTACGGATCGTTTCCGGCCCATTGAAAACACCTATGTCGCCGATGATGGTGACGACGTGATCGATGCGCTCATTGAGTTGCTTCATCGCGTCTGTCGTGCAACCTGGCGCTGCTGAGGCGTTAGCCTCAATGCTGTTGATGCGTGCGAGAGCGGAGTTCAACAACCGATGTTGTTGCTGCTTCTGCGTTGCTTCGGCGCGGATGGCAGTTGTTAAAACATCAACGTTTTGCTGGTACTTTTGTCGCTGCTGTCGTTCCGTGCGCAGATGTGCCTGCAGCAGTGTGTTATTCCACAGGATGCCTCTCATCATGCCCAGCATCAAGTTAGCCAGGTGTGTCCTCTCTGCCTCCGCCGGTGTCGGATCTGCCTGGGCGTCTGAAGGCACAAAGATCATGCCTTGGAGGAACGTTGTCCACTGACTTTCACTATGAATCAGGGACTCCGTACTGGTGGCATTCCGTTGGTCTCGTGCCGCTGCGTCAGCCTCAGCAGTCTGCTGAGCGTGGGCTGCCGCCTCATTGGCCAACCGCTGACGTTCTGCCTCTGCTGCCTCCTGCTGAGCCTTGGCGGCAGCTACGGTATCTGTAAATACCTGTAGCCCCCCAAAATAGTCAGCCAACGGCTCACTGGCCGGGAAGAACTCCGGTGGTGTCCGGTACCGTCAATGTTGTACTCGATGTCGCTGGAGTCGTCCGCCTGCTGAGTCTGTGTTGCTGAGCCTTGGTTCGTGGAGGTACCGTAGGTCGAGCACGAACTGCGAGCCTGGCACTGCGCCGTGGCAGTGCCCCRGTATCCTGTTCCATCGACATCAGTGTGGACTGATGTGGTACTTGAGAGGTCCCGGTGGTCACAGAATACGGGGAGGGTAGGGAGAGTGGGAACAGGGGTAGAACAATCAAACAATACGCATACAGTCCCGTGTCCCACTGATGGACTGTAGACACCTAATCAAACTGAAAAATAAATTTCCCGTAAACCATTCCAAAAATTCGTAATAACGATTTAATCAATAAAATTAATTAATGATAAATAACGAAATACTCCTAATGAAATAATCATTATTTGCAATAAAGATAATCAATAAACAATAATTGCCATTATAAACGAATTTGAAAGGTATTATGATTAGGTCTCTTTGAGATAACTTTGAGTCCGGGAGTTCACCGTTAATGAGTGAACTACCCGGAAGTTGCAGTTTGAGGGTTAGATACGGCTTAGTATGCTAAAAAAATTTCGGAAAATTTCAGAAGAAAAACGCTCGAATTTTCAAAAATGCGAATTTTCGGGAATTTCCACCGTCAAAATCCGATTTTTAAAAGCCTAAACCTGTTTTCGGAATTTCTCAAACAAGGGGAATGAAAAAAAAATTCGCGAAAATTTTGGTCCCAACCCTAATTTTCCGCGTTTCCGCGAAATTTTCGGATTTACGGTCCCCAAAACGTTCGAATTTCCCCAAGTTGATCTAAAACCCAAAAGATTTTCGTAACCCTAATTCCCATACTGAAAGACAACGGAAATCCCAAAAGAAAACAAAATATAGGATTTACAACAGAATGCCGAAAAACGGAATGCTGAATGGAAATCAGAAAAGCTGAATTTCAAACATGATACTGATTCAACCCTAATGCGCGTAGAATCAGAAATCCGAATCAAACAAAATGTTGGATTAGTATCAATTTCTCGGATCCTAATTAAACAACATACCGGTGTACAACAGAAATCCGAATAAAAGTCCGAATACTGAATTGAACAGGAAATGCCGAAATAACCAGACTACCGAAAAACTTTGCAACTTGAACTTGATAGTAGTACATCGCTGATTGGGAAGATTGAAGAACAATCTAATTCCTAAATCAGTCTTACCTTTGTGAGCAGATCCGTTATATGGTCTGCTCCGATACCAAAACTGTTACATACTCCAATGAGTATGGGCAGAACCAAGGATCAACCAATGTAGGATGAGCATATATGCAACGAAAGTCTGATGAACGGACTGACTCACATAGACTGACTCACATAGCATCACTCCACACACATACAATCGTGAGGTGGTGGGGGTCTGAGCCATACATAGAAGATGCTCAGCCCCGTACACACATACACAGATGAACGGGGGAGGAGAGACGAAGAGGCGGGGGRGGKAGACAGCACCGAAAGTCACCGAGATAGAATCTGATAGGTCACCGATATGGTAGTCCAAAATGTCATCCAACAAGATCAAAATGTCGAGGACCATAGGTCACCAATGTCGGGGATACAGAGTCCAAATGTAACCGGTGTCCGAACTGTGATGTCGCCAAGTATCAACCCCAACGATCTCCAAGTCTCCAATCTGGTAAGTACCACAGTCTCATACCATCGAAGTCCAACACTGATCTCTGTCCAGCTAGTATTAAATCTCCAATCTGAAGAAGAAGAAGAAGAAGAAGAAGGAGAAGAAGATGGAGTCTGAAGAGGGAGAGAGAGAGAGAGAGAGAAAGAGAGAGAGAGAGAGAAGACGGAGGTGAGGAGGAGGGGAACAGGACCGTGGAGGGAAGAAGAGATCCTCGCCTCCTGGTACCTGCCCTGCTGCTGCTGAGGCGGCGATGGCCGCCGTGCTGCTGCTGCTGTCCTCGCTGCTGCCGCTGCGCTAGCTCGCGCTGCTGCTGTCCTTCCTCCTGCGCTCAGAATAGCGCTCAAACGGCGCTCTAGCGCCGACCTTACCGCACCGCGTAGAGTGTCTGTTGGTCGATCCCTGACTGAGGCTGGACCGGTACCTTTGTACCGGTGGGCAGAGGTCGGCCTCTATGCTGCGAGGCCTGACCGTGCCCTGAACCGTCCAGATGGACGGTTCAGCCCCAACCGGCGGGCGGCAGCCTCAAGAGCGACGCCAGGCCCAAACGGTAATGTCGTTTGGGCCTGCCCGTCGGGTCTGGTCCAAGGTGAGGCCTTTATGGCCTGTAGTACCCCAAGGTCGGGCCTTTAGGCCCTGGTGTGTCCCTCTAGCCCTAAGTCGGGTCCGGTAGGACCCGTGTGGCGTCGAAGATGTAACATAGTACCACCCCTTGGCCTTAGTGCTTGATCCTGGTCTTTTTTTTTTTTTTTTTTTTTTTTTTCCGGTCAACACCCTGAATTCACCATTCGATACAGAACAAAAGCCTTGGCCATCTGTCCCTTGCTTGCCCTGCCTCTGTCCCAGATTCCTACCCCCAAACCCCTAAACCCTGGGCCCTCTCTGGGCTACCTCTTTCCTCTCTGTTTCCTGTGAAACCTCCTCTACTGTCTGTAACCCTTGAGACCCTTATCCGTTCTGTCAAAAGGTCCATATCCCTTGAAAGGGCTCGCCCCGTGTTTCACCCCGTCTTTATAACCCGCATTACCAATCCTGCCCAATAGGCCCACACCCTCCGCCCCACCTTGCCTACCCGTGTGGAGACAGTCTCTAAAACTCTAACCCTATGCTCTCGTTCTGTGACTCTTCGCCACCCGCCTGATGTTGGACTCTCTTTTGAACTTGCGCAGGCATGAAAAGTTCTTTACTTATGCTCTACCCTCATGCTGGCCCCCTTTTCCTGTAAAGTGCTCCTTTGCCTCATTTCCCGTTACTCTTTTGCCCCAAAACAGGGCAACTCCCTCGTACTGCTTGCTCGGGATCGAATCTCTTAAACTGGAACTCCTTGCGTGTTATGGAAAAGCTTGTTTATTTCTGAATTGTGCCTATCCTTCTGGTGTACTCAGTCATCTCTTAAACTCTGGCGCCCTGCCATTAAGCAACCACTGTTTAATCCTGATGGGTTCCTGCTGTTCTGTGACTTCGGGGAGCAGTTGCCTTTAACTTCGCCGCTTGCTTAACACCTCGGCCTGGGGCATAAGTCACGCTTCCGCCTGAACTTTTGGCTCGAAATGAATAGACCCTCAATGGTTCAGCTGCACCTTTCTTTCCGATTGATCGGTGGTGTCGCTTTCCTTATCTTGCCTAAGCGGAATTCTTTTGTCCCTTGATGACGGTCTGGGGTGTTAGTCGAGAGAACGCCTTGTACTGGGTGTTCGGGGGTGGGGTATGGGTTGTAGGTTTTTGGTTTTTGGTTTTCCGTGCTGTATAGAGGTATTAGTCAAAGTAAGAGGCGGTAAGAGTCCTGGGGGGGGAATGAGGAGAAGGGGAGCGCGCGACTTTGCTGCACGTGTGCCTTTCTTTTTTGTTTAATCTCACTGCTTAAATTGGAAGATACTTCTCTGTTTTCTTCCTACTCCTTTTTCTTTTCAAGTTACTCTCAGTTGTTGAAGTATAGTCTGCCCTTTTCTAATTTAGCTATTCTATTCCCATTAAGCCATATTTTCTCGAATTTTCTCTGACCCAGGTCTCGCTTCTCTAGTTGCGGTGTTTTCTATTGTTCTTTTTGCTCTCTATTCCATCGGGCCCTTATCTTTGTTTGTACTATGGACTTAACTTCCATCCATCTCTCCTCCAAACTAGGAAATTGATCATCTAGCGTGCCTTTGCATCTCGCTTTCCATATTACCCAAAGAGTCACTCTTCTCCATAGGTCCGCTAGCGGTATTTCCTCTTCTTCCAAATCATGTTCCATTACTCTCCCTGCCAGTAGGTAAATTATGTTGGAAGGGAAGGTGTGTTCAGTTAATTTGAACCACAATGCCTTTGTTCTGCCCCATAGCTCTTGAGCTCGCTGACAGAGAATGAGGCAGTGCGACAATGACTCTTCGAGGCCTTCATTGCACACTTTGCACCACTTATCTTGCTGCTGAAGGTCCTCTTGTTTTCTTCTTTTGCTCAGCCATTGATTGACCGGTACCGCCCAATACAATATGAGCCATTGCAGGCTACTGATCCTTGATGGTCTTATACTGGTGTACTTGTTCCATGGGATTTTGCCTTCCCATCCTGCGTTTTCTCCTATATTTTCCTTCCATCTCTTTGTTATTACCGGGAGAGGGTCCTTTGTGATGTTTCCTAGTCTTTACCCCGCTTTGACTTCATAGTCGTAGAGGGGAGTAAGCTTTTTGGCTCTTCCTACGCTGCCTGGGATATACCACCCCTATTCTGCTGGGTCCACTTCGAGGTCTTTAATGTCCTGATCTGGCCTGTAGATCCAGATTTTCTTTTGTCCCTGTTCGTAGGTAAGGCTCTTTTTACAGTTGGCTTTGGGTGTGCCGGTTCTGACTTTTCTTAGGTCCTTGAGTTCGATTGTTGTCCTTTGTTCTGATGTTTTTCCGGGATCTGCCCAGGTTTTGTGCGTATCTGTTAGTTCGAAGGATTCAAACTCTGCCTTCCCTTCTTCTGTTTCAAGTATCCTGATCAGCTTGTATCCTTCGAGTGGGGAGCTTGACTTTTTTTTTTGTAGCCCAATCCCCTACGCTCCACTTGGTCTTGGATTTTAAGAGCAGTTCCCATTTCAAGGGGACACTTTCTAGCATCCTTTCGAGGTGATCTTTTAGGTTGTCAGCTCCTTTGATTTTGGTTCTCAATTCTTGAACCGTGGTCCATCTGTTCTCTTCTTTGTTCCATAAGTGTTCTACTTTCCAGACGCCGTTACCCACCCATTTTCTCCATCGTTTGCCTTTCGAATTCAAGGTCCAGGGTTTGTGATCTTGGTCTTTTAAGAGGGGGTTTCCGAATAGGGGTTGTCTTAAGACTTCCTCTCTACTTTGTGGGGTTCTTGTTTTTTGTGGAAAACAGCCTCTCCAGTGTTTTATGAAGGTGGCCCAGTGGTCACTGGGTGGGTCTTTCCCGTCCGTTTTGTCTTCTTCTTTCTTTTTTGATAGGGGTCCATGTAGGGTTGAGTATCCAGTGATAGCCTTCTATGAACGGGTCAACTTTGAAGGGGACTAAATTGCGGATCTGATGCATGGCCATGTTGTGCCATGGAAGTTCTCTGTTAAAGAGAAGTTTGATTATCCATTTAAGTTGTAGTGCTTGGAATTGTGAGACTGGGTTCAATAAACCTAGGCCTCATTGTGATTTGGGTCTTGTAACATATTTCCAAACCAATACCTGTTCTTATTCGCGTTACCCGTCCATAGGTAGGCTCCGAGTTTCTTTTTGAGGATAGTAAAGAAACCTGGGGGGGGATTCTAGAGAGAAGGCACATACCATCCTGTAGATAAAATTGAGGTGTTAAGCACGAGGACCCTTCCCATAAGGGACGTGCACGCTGCTTGCCAACCTGCCAGCTTGCTAGTCATCTTGAGGAGGAGGCTGATACCTGAAGACTCGTTGACTCCATTGTCTGATACTTGGACGCCCAAAAATCGTACTGGTAGTTGAGTGTCCAGCCATTGTAACCCCCGGGTCTCTTGGGTTTGTTGTGGGGGGTCGGACGGGGAAAACCACCAACCTGCTGTTTTGTTCCAGTTTATCTTCATTTCTTAGGCTAGTTGGAATGCCTGCATTGCTCTTGTGAGTGCCAGGAAGGACGAATCCGATGCTCTGATAAGCACGGTTAGGTCGTCTGCAAATAACATTACCGTCGGAATCAATAGAGGTCTTCCGTCGTATTCTGTCGAGAGTCTTTCTATAGACGGGTCCTTCCGGAGAAAGGCAGCTATAGCTTCCATCACAAAGAGGAAGATCGGGGCTGCTAACGGGTCTCCTTGTCTAACGGATCTTGTCATTTTGTATTTATCCGAATGGCGGCCGTTGACTTGCACCATCCCTCTGGCATCCCCATAGAGCACCTTTATCCATTTTCTGAAATTTGGTCTGACCCCCATTTTTTCCATGCTTGGTTGTAAGAACTCCCAGTTGACCTGGTCGTACGCTTTTTCGAAATTGCAGAAAAGTATTGCCGCTTGTAATTTTTTATCTTTTATGATTTTAGTCGCTTCATTTAAGCAGACCACGTTGTCTAGGATGTATCTTCCCGGGATGAAGCCTGTTTGGTCTAGGTGGAA